AAGGTGGCTGTTACCGATCGCAATGTTCGACCCATTATATCGATATCATCAGCGTAGGCGAGTAACTGATGTTGTTTGGTGTACAGAGTGCCATTTCTGTTCAGCTTTGCGTCTCGTATGACATTTTCCAGTAGGATGTTAAAAAGATCACACGACAAACTGTCACCTTGTCTGAATCCTCGTTCGGTATTGAAAGGCTCCGATAGGTCCTTTCCTACTTTAACGGCTGACCTTGTGCCACTTAAAGTTATCCTGCATAGCCGTATTAATTTTGCAGGAATGCCGAACGCAGACATGGCATTAAACACCTCTGAACGGATAGGGCTGTCGAATGCGGCTTTATAGTCGACAAATAGGTGGTATGTGTCGATGTGGTTTTCGTGGGTCTTTTCCAGGATTTGGCGCAGAGGGAAAATCTGCTCAATGGTGGATTTGCCAGGTCTGAAGCCGCATTGGTATGGTCCAATGATGTCATTGACCATTGGCTTCAATCGTTCACACAGCACACTGGATAGCACTTTATATGCGATGGGAAGGAGACTTATTCATCTATAGTTGGCACATATCGTTTTGTCTCCTTTTTTGTGCACGGGACACAGGATGCTGAGGTTCCAATCATTGGGCATGCATTCATCTAGCCAAATTGTGTTAATCAGCTGGTGCATGCCCCTGACCAGCATCTGGCCACCAGTCTTGAATAGTTCGGCTGGTAATCCATCGGCTCCTGCTGCTTTGTTGTTCTTGAGCCGATTAATTGCTTTTATGACCTCATCTTGGCTAGGTGGTATACACTCTATACCATCATCTCTTATTGGTTCTGGGGTATCTTCTTCATCGCCACTATTTGATACTAGTAGCTTTTCGAAATGCTCCTTCCAGATCCTCAACACGCTGTCTGTATCTGTCACCAGGTTTCCTTCTTCATCTATACAGGAGGATGTGCCTGCACCAAAGCCTTCGGTTTGGTGTTTTACTCGTTGGTAAAATTTCCGGACTTCATTCTGACTCCTGTACATCTCGATTTGCTCACGCTCACGTTTTTCTTGTTCTTTCTTCTTTTTTCTGAAAACACGTTTCTCCTCTCTCCTTTTCTCCCAATAATTCTCCATCACGTTACGTGTTGCTACTGTCTGCAGGGTAGCATTACGACACTCCTGATCGCACCATGGGTTTCTTGGTGGTGGTTTTTGGTACCCAATTGTTCTTGTTGCTGCAGTTTGTAGGGAGTGGGCAATTCTTTGCCATTGTGCTTCTATACTATTATCGGGACAAGAAGTGCTTTCTTCAAGCAGATGGGTAAGTTGACCGGAGTAGGCCTCGGCACCTGTTGTGTTTGCAGCTTTTCGACGTCGAGTTTCCGTGTTGTATTAGATCCAACTTTGCTGCAACATTAAGACGGGTGCGTACCTTGGCTGCCACAAGGTAATGGTCCGAATCGATATTCGCTCCTCGGATCGATCGGACGTCTAAAACACTGGATGAATGCCTTCCGTCTATCACAACATGATCAATTTGGTTTCTCGTTACTTGATCAGGAGAAATCCAGGTGGTCTTGTGTATATCGAGATGCTTGAATCTGGTGCTGCTAACTACCATGTTTTTTGCTGCCGCGAAGTCAATCAACCTCATGCCGTTGTCGGATGTTTCTTCATGAAGGCTGAATTTTCCGACGGTGGGGCCAAAGATATTTTCCCTTCCGATTTTTGCATTAAAATCTCCTAGCAGAATTTTAATGTCATGGCCAGGGCAACGGTCATATGCTGTTTCTAGGCGCTCGTAGAATATATCTTTGGTCTGCTCATCTTTGTCTTCGGTCGAAGCAATTCGCACATCAACTGGAGTGAATTTGGAGACGATGTCTTTTATTCTCCTGTTAACCATAAATCCGCAGCCAAATTAACGTCTCGTTTCATGGCAGCTATAATACAGGGCGTAATCGTCTGATTTACTTACGCCTGCCCCATTCCATCGCATTTCCTGTAAGGCAATAATATCGGCTCTGTACTTCTTGAGTATATCCGCCAAAGCGAATACTGCGCCTGTTCTGTACAACGTGTGCACATTCCAAGTGCAGATTCGCAGATCGTGGTCTTTTATACGTTTGCGGGGGCGTCAACATTAGGGTGGTTTGGTTTTCTTTTTCTTTGCTTTTTCATAGTATGTTGGGTTTTCCGAGAGTGGGCACTATTCCGACGCCTCAACCCATTTTTTATAGTTCTTATGGGTGAACTCGCGGCACATATTAGCTCACTATTTCATCGGGTGATGAGAATAGCTCCCCAGGTGGCACCGCGGGGAGGTCAGTGTCCACAATTGAGATGGAAGAGGGACCAAGATAAGCCTGGACTTCGCCATGTTAAAGCCAATCAGAGCCGTTGCTTGGTATCTATCATCCCCTACGCCACCCTGAAAATAAATATGCCGAATATTATTAATACAATATTATTAATACATGTTTTGATATAAACCACTCAAATGGGTGTAGTTCGGCATTCCGAGTTCCCGATGAATAAACAACTTCTTCGTTCATCGCTGGTTCATGGTTTTACATAGCCCCTGTAAAAGGTCCTATTTAATATTTGTTCGAGCTCCGTCCGCCTTTCTGGTTGATGGGCAAAATAACTCTCGATGGGAGTAATAGGACGTTTAGATTGACTAGTAAATCCAGTGGGTTTCAAATGACAATTCCATTGAATATATGCCATTTAAATATTCGTAGACGAGGTTAAACATGTAAAAAGTTTTAAAGTAAATGTCGTTTAAATTTTTTTTAATCTTATATGGGCTTTGTTACTACAACGCAAAATAAATAAATGTGAAACGAATGGGGTATCAAACTTTGTATATTGTATAAATTTATCCGAACCTACGTTAAAAAAGTCGAAACGCATAAAAAGGTCGAAACGGTCTATTTAAATTATTTTATATAATCCATTATTTGATATATGGGCACTTCCACAGTCACTTAGACGACGTTCAGGGGCAACATCAAACTTTAAATGTTAAATAAATTGAAAACAAATTATTTTTTTTTTACAATTCACCCTTAATACTTTTTTGTAGAACTTTTTTGAGATAAAATCCATAAAAGAGCGGTCACTCACGCGACTTCAAATATATATGACTTTAGACATAATTGCTAATAATGGGAAACTCGGCGAATTGCCATGTCCTTTATTTGCGAAGGATTTTACTCGGTCACTTACGCGACGTAACTCTCGCGACATTCTTGATTTTGCAGTTTTTATTTCTGTAGTGTCTGCATTTATTGTCTTTAAATTAGAATTTATGCTAAGAACAAGAAGAAAAATTGAGTGTAGATCATAAAAAATTATGAAAGATCTACATTCCTTTGATTCAGTTTTCAGATTCACATCAGGCATTTTCCAAAATATGGCACTAATTCACAAGGTCTCCTAAATATGTAGAAAATAAATCATACATTATTACTACACGAAAAGTTTATGTCTTAAATCTTTTGTTTATTGTCAATGACTTTGATTTAAACAATTTTATTGTACCATAAAATTATTAAAAGTCTGCGATTAGAAAAAATGAAAATTTTCTTAATTAATTTTTCCCCCTTTTCTAGAGATTTCCCTTCTTAGGAGATTTACTATCACTTTCTTTCGGGAATTTTTGATTTTTTATAACACTGTTGTGTTTAACAAATTAATAACAACAATCTAAATTTGTTTATGTACCAGTTTCAGTTTCCTCAGTCAATTTTATTATGAATGGATTAAATATTAAGAAGTAAAGGTTTTTAGGGGTGATAGATGTTATAGAAACTATGTGCAGGAAAAATCATATTGGGAAATTTACATCATATTACAAGGTCTGGTTCTTAATAGGGGACTGGGATTTTCGAAATTCTATAAGACTTCAATTTAAGAACTTACAGGGTCAGGTGACACACTATATAATTCTCGATGCACCAAATCAAAGCCTATATTAATATATATCGTCTATCTGTAGAATACCTTAGAATATTTTCTGTTCCCTAAAGAATTAAATCTAAAATCGATCCGACTAAATTCCGTAAATGACATACCATAGTCTGTGCGGATAATTTATATATATGTTTGAAAAAGATTTAATTTCATTATTCCGTTTTCGAACTCCAAGTTTTATAAAAAATTCCCTTCCCAATAGCTTTTGTAAAATATCTTCATTTACATGAAATCCATCAATCCAAAAACTATGATGGCACCCTTTTGCTTACAAGTCACAAATATTTTGATAGGTACACTTAGCATATGACTGCTAACTAAGTAACCCTGATGAATGGCCATATCAATGGTTGTAAAGAAAAGTCTACAAACATGATATCCCTAACTCTATTATTATTGTTGTTGTTGCATTTAATTTCATGAGATTTTTCTTATTGGAAATTTGAGCTGACGTTTTATGTGATGCGGTCAGCGGTGTGTCTCGGTGTGGCATGCGTTTTATGTCTATCTTTCCGCCCCACCAGAAAACACATAATACCACTACCAAATTATTGTTTAAGTTTTGGGTTTCCCTTTTATCTTCTTCTGCTTGTGTGGAGATTTTCTTTCTATGAAATGATTTGTTTGGCATTCATTGATCATCATCATGCGTTTGGGAGATTCTTTTTCTTTGTTTTTGTAAAGTTTTGGATGCATTTTTTGTTTTGGGTGGATTTAGTCTGTCCGTGGTTATTTGTTTTTAACGCTGAATTAATTCTCTGGCATGGAAAGGGTTCTGACAAATTGAAATTTTTGTGGAGTTGTTTTTTTTTTTTTTTTTTTTGGGGGATAGAATGGGGTAGACAAGTGCGTGAGCCGTTAGTTTGGATGATGTTGTTGCTATAAAAGCTGCATTTCGTAATCTAATAGCGTTAGAATACCAATAACTGTTATTGTGTAAAGATCTAATATTTGTTACGGATTGTGCTTAAGATAAATATTGGAAAATTAAAAAAAAATATTTGAAAATTAAAAAATATTTGAAAAATAAAAACACAAAGGATTACAATGTTTATTAATCCAATGAAATATTTAGTGGTATGTGAATAAAAAATATATATTGACGCAAATAAAATAATATTTCAAAATAAAAGGATTATAGTGAAAAAAGAAGCAAAATAAAAAAAAGACATAAAAACAATTGTGAAACTTCTTTAAACAAAAGACTTAAGAGACAAACTTGGGTGTGTATCAAATTAATGCGATACATTTAAAGGCATGCGGATTATAACACTGTGCAACAAAAAAAAAATTGATTATGGGGAAATTCCAAAAAAATTATGATAGAGGGTCCAAAAAATAGAAGACACGTGTATCGGCATTTTGAAAGTTTACGTCGGGATGTAACCTAAAAAGACTTGGCATTATTTCTCATTTCCATGACATTACAAAATGTTCGGATTAGGATTAACTCGAAATCCATTTAGGTATATGGTGTCTTTGGCAATATTACTGATATAAATGTGAGGAGTATTTTTGTATAGTACGTTAATCCTCAGTCGACTCTATGAAGGGTCTTTTCGGTTCCCTGTTCCATAAAAAGGGGTTATAGCAGGTCAGAATATTCTAGAAAAATGTTCGCCATAAACCTTATAAGTCTCAGAATTGAACAAAACACAAAAACCAGTCTAAAACTTAAAAATCTTAAAAATATGCAAACTCGTTCTAGGTTTAAAACAGATTTTATTTGGAGATTGTACCAATTTTCCCCACTAGATGTCGCTTTAGAAGGGTGGCATAGGGGACAAAAATATTCTCCATCATATTCTAGCATAAATCACTGAACAAGAGAAATCGGTATATATAATACATATACCGAATATATAACGTCAAAAATCTTAAAAAAATATGAAAACTGAACAAGAGTAATCGGTATATATAAAATATATACGGAATATATAACATCAAAAATCTTAAAAATATGAAAATTCATTTTAGGATTGAAACAGACCTTATTCCAAAATTGTACCAATTTTTCCCACTAGATATCGTTTTAGAAGAGTGGTATAAAAAACAAAAATATTCTCCATCAAATTTTAGTATAAGTCACTGAACAAGAGAAATCTATATAAAATATATATACGGATATATAACGTCAAATATCTTAAAAAATATGAAAACTCATTTTTGGGGTTAAAACCGATTTTATACCGAGTTTGTATCAATTTTTCCCACTAGATGTCACATATAGCGAATATATTAGGGTTATAATTATATGAGGGCTACGCCTAATCAATAACCGACATATGTCAATTTCGAACCCAATATTTCTGTTTTGTTTCAAGTATAATTATATGGGGGAGATGCCTAAATGCTGGCCGATATATTTCATTAACGTCAGGTTCGAGTTTTTTTACAACGATTTCCTTAGAAAGCAGAATGATTACAACCGATGGCTAAATCGTCTTAGAATTCCATAATTTGTAGGGTAAAACTGACTATTTCAAGTAACGACTATCCCCTGTACTATGGTAGAATACGCCTACATGGGGAAAACCCCTATACACGGAACTAATCAGTTAACTCTCAAGACCCCAAAATATCGAAAATTTGGACTGCCCTAATGGGGTGCTTTCCCGAAAAAATAGACCTATCTTTAAAATTTTTAGTGGAGACATTTGGTAGCCAAAAATAACCCAATGTACCAAATTTCAGCGAATTTGATTGAAAAACGCGCTCAAGAACCCCATAGGGAGCTATGCCTAAACGTGGACCGATATATCCCATCTTCGCACTTGACCTGCCTGCAGAAAAAAGACAACCCTATGAAAAATTGCAGCACCCTATCTCAATTCCTTCAGAAGATAGCGTAATTACAAACAGACGGACGGACAGATGGACGGACGGTCATGGCTAGATCGTCTTCGAATTTTACCCTGATCAACAATATATATACTTTATAGGGTCGGGAATGAATATTTCGATGAGTTACAAACGGAATGACGAACTTAATATACTCTCCATACTATGGTGGAGGGTATAATTATTTAATTCTTAATAAATTATATAAATATCTAATATTTTTCAAGTCTAATTTAAGGCGTGGATTTTTAAAAAATATATTTTCTTGTCGTTTTTCTTGTGTGGATTTCTTAAAAATATTTTTTTCAAATTTAATTTTAGGCGTGGATTTTTTGAAAAAAAAAATTTTTAATCTTCAATAGGCGTGAATTTTTATTTTTTTCAAGTCTTCGATAGGCGTGAATTTTTAATTTTTTCATCTGTTCGATAGGCGAAAAGACTTCGATAGGCATGGATTTTTTTAAAATATTTATTAATTTTTTTGATGTTTTTGATTGGCCTTGATTTTTGAAAAATATTTTTTCAAGTTTTTGATCTTTTGATTTTTTAAGAGCGGGGCATATCCCCCTTGTATAACAATACAATATGAACTAAACTTCAATGATTATTGTAAAGGAATGAGGTGCTACACATTTCAAGTCCAAAATTTACAACGCGACAATTTGACACATTGAAACCCAATTACAAAATTTTGCAAAAATTACTCATAAATTATTATAAAAGTTTATTTCATTTTTTTTCATTTCAGCTACTCACCCTTTCCGTCATTGGACCGATTAATGCCTTTTGGTGGCGTTCCAGCCCCACGTAAGTAGAGTTTTCTCCACCTAAGACACTTCATATTGACACCAATTAATCTAGACCGTCTCCTTCTCCCTGTTCCAGTGAACCCACCTCTACACCACCGCCAGTAATGAAACAAATACCTTTGACATATTTTCGAACCTATACCTATCAGCCAATGGCTGGTAATCCTTTACCCTTCCCCATGATGAGTTCAACGGATTATGTGACCAACTATGCCGCATTGGCTAATAATCCCTATTTTAATCCAATGTTATCTCTGCTGCCGCAGGCAATGGGTGCTGGGGCAGGTGGTGTGGCTGTGCCAGCAACGGCGGACGTAGCAGAAAATGAAATAAATAAAAGTGAACTAAAGCAAGGGAAAAAATATGCAAATGTGGTGAGGTCGTGGAGTGGTGCAAATCAAATAACAGCTGGTGGGACAAAGGGTACAACCACCCCTACGACTACTTCGTCGACAACTACTACCTCAACGACCACGACGACGACGACAACAACACCGAAACCAACAACCAGTAGTACAACTACGACTACAACAACAACAACTCCTACACCCACCACAACAACTGCCTCCACAACTACAACAGCTGCCACAACAGAGTCCGAGGGCAAAAATGATGGAACTGCTGCCTTCATTAAAACCGATGCTGTTGTTAACATTGAAGCTGCCTATCCCGCCTTTAATCGCAAGGTGTACACCAATCATTTTAACATCAACTATAATCGTCCTGTATATCCCTACCCTGAATATTCCATCTACAAACCACCAAGTAATATAAATGAGGATAATAAGTCAGGAGCATCACCCAGTCCCACCGTTCCTGCAGCTGCCAATGTGGAATTTGTACCTTGTATGTGTCCCGTCAATATACAAAATGGTTTTCCAATGGCTGGCATGCCCATAGCCGGAAATCCATCAAATTCAATTTTCTTAGCTCAGGGTAGAACAAACCCTGAGGTGGAAGCTTCAATGGAACTGCCATCATCGGAGGTGCCGGAATCTAGTGGTAGTGGCGATGTTGCGACAGAAGCTGAATTGCCGCTGACAAATTTCGTCGAAGATTTACAAATGGTCAATATGGATGATGGCGAAGATGCAGAAGAAGTGACACAAAGTATAGCGGCTTCGTGAGGGGGATTTGATTTGTAATTTAGATATTAATTAACACAAAAATTAGACTGAATAAAAAAAGATGGAGGAATAGAAAGAAGTGGTTTCTTTTTTGGACGTGGCTTTTAAACAGCTCAAAAGAAGATATTCCTTCGTCTGGATGCATTAGGGGCGTTGTCCAGATATAACCATTGCTCATCGAATTCTTTTGGCTTAAGGGAAAAATTTCCAAAATTCCAATGGTGTTAGAAAGAGTACATGTCTGGCTCTCGTATGAACTATGATTATTGACTTCGCTCTAAAATTAACAAAATGGCGGACCTTTGAAAAAATATTTTTGGAAAATCGCCGATTTTTGACCAAAACCCAAGTTAAAAAATAAGGAAGATCTTCACCGAATGACTTGGAGAAACGTGTAAAAATTTGGAATCGATTGGGTTATTAGTTTTTGAGTTATCGTGCCCGCAATTCGCAAAAGAGAAAAACGCGTTTAAAGTTTGAGAAGCCCTTTAGCCGTCACTTGATGCTGACACAATAAATCGGCTATATCTTAAAGAGTTCTTGAGATTTTCACTTGAAATTTTATAGGGACATTCTTGAATTAGTGTAGATTCGAATTAAATCAAAAAAATTTTTGACCCCGAGAATGGGGGGATCCCCTTAAAAGGCTATATTTTATGTAACAACTTTATGGGAGCAAAGTCTCCCATTGCATAAGTCTGGGAGAAAATGGAAAATATTTTCTCAAGCCTTCGATAGGCGTGAATTTTTTATTTAATTTTCAAATTACGCGGATTTTTTAAAAAAACATTTTTTCAAGTCTCATTTTTGGCGTGGATTTTTTCAAAATATTTTTCCAATTTCTCGACAGGCGTGGATTTTTTCAATTTTTCAACAGGCGTGGATTTTTTCAATTTTTCGACAGGTGTGGATTTTTTTCAAAATATTTTTTTAAGTCTCAATTTAGGCGTGGATTTTTTCAAAATATGTTTTCAAGTCTCATTTTAGGCGTGGATTTTTTCAAAATATTTTTTGAAGTCTCATTTTAGGCGTGGATTTTTTCAAATTATTTTTTCAAGTCTCATTTTAGGCGTGGATTTTTTCAAAATATTTTTTCAAGTCTCATTTTAGGCGTGGATTTTTTCAAAAGCTGAAAGCCATTCTACCGAAAAACTTCGATCAGGTCCATAGCCGAAGTTTTTACCAGTAGAACTCCAAACAGTTCTAGACTGGTTACCCACAGACTATAGCGCCTGCCCAGCTTCATAGCCATTAGAACTCAGGGAATCACCTCCGTTAAGTCCTCCTCCTAGTAAACACCTCCCTTACAAATACAACAAGTGCCGCATAAGTCTCGACCCACACGACTAAAGTGGTTAATCCCAACCATCGTGTGCACTGTGAATATCCGTACTGGCCAATTTTCTGAAGTCATCATAATACATGCACTGACTCAGTACGTGCACAGCATCCTCGCGTCCCTCGCCACATCCAAAATTTTGAGTCACAGACAAAGCACTCTTATGCAAAAATGCATTTAACGAACCATGCCAGTAAATATCCCGAAGCCAAGTTCCTGTCGATTATGTACAAAGGTTACGTCTTTCAAAAAGGTGTGCGTCACCCACCATTCCTACTCTCATTCCATCTTGTCTGCCACCTAGATACAAGACGCTTATTTACGAGTTCCTTGTTCCTCAATTTTTCCAGGTCAGTTCAGATGTGGACATCCAATCAATATCGGAGATATATTGATAAACAATTTTGCTGTAGCCAAATTGGAAAAAATGTTTGCCTAAGATAAAAAAAATCTGGTTATTATCGGCTAGGCGGAATTTTTTAATTTCATCGGAGAAGAAAAAAATCCAAAGTGGTTTTCGAGGAAGAGATGGCAAGAAAAAGCGCCAACTACAGGAAAACGGCAATACTAATTAAGGAAGGGGGCAATACTAATTAATTCTCGGGGTCAAAAATTTTGTTGATATAATTCGAATCTACAATAATTAAAGAATGTCCCTACAAAATTTTAAATGAAAATCTAATAAATCTTGAAGATATAGCCGATTTATTGTGTCAGCATTAAGTGACGGCTGAAGGGCTTCTCAAACTTTAAACGCGCTTTTCTCTAAACATGTTTTTGCGAATGTGGGCACGATAACTCAAAAACTAATTAGAATTTGTTAGAATTTGTTTCTAGGCAACGAAAGATGAAAATAGGAAGATTTAAACCAATTGAGAACTTAAACTATCAAATTAGAGTCATTTCATTTAAAAACGTAGAAAAATAAACAAGTGAAAAGGCGTTAAGTTCGGCCGGGTCGAACTTTGGATACCCTCCACCATAGATATACTGAGAGGTACTTGAAATAAAAATGTAGGGAACATACCAAAATGTTTACCTATACCAACATTTCTACAAACATCCAAACTTTGCTCATCTTCTTATTTCTTCCAAAATTAGTTCAAGTTCGAACATGGGTAATATCGGTCCACTCCTTCTGGTACCTCCCAAACAGGGGCTAGGCCTAAAGGCGGGTTACAGTTCATATATATGAATAATACATGTTAATTATCGAACATTATATTCTAGTTTTTTTTCGTATCTTCCGCAGATGAAAAAGGGGCGAATATTAAAAATGTTTGGTAGGGAGATTTGTTACCATATACTACTACAAAATACCAAATTGCAGCGAATTTGGTAGAAAAACGCGCTCAAGAACCCCAAAATACCGAAAACTGGGGGTACCCTTATATGGGGGTTATCCGAAAAAATGGACCTATATTTATAATTTTTGTGGGGAGATTTGGTACCTATTAAGAACTCAAAATACTAAATTACAGCCAATTCGGTGGAAAAATACGATCAAAACCCCCAAAAAACTGAAAATTAGGAGGTAACGTTATATGTGGCTACCAGAAGTGGGCCAATGTTTATAATTTTTTGTGGAGACATTTAGTAAAACTAAAAGTACCAAATTTCAGCGTATTCGGTTGAAAAACTCGCTCAAGAACCCCAAAATACCGAAAATTGGGGGGTACCCTTATATGGGAGCTATGCCTAAACGTGGACCAATATATCCCATCTTCGAACTTGACCTGCCTGCCGACAAAAGACAAACATATGCCAAAGTTCAGCACCGTATCTCAATTCCTTCAGAAGATAGCGTGATTACAACAGACGGACGGACAGGTGGACGGATCAAGAAGGTGGATGGGGCCAGAAATGAATATTTCGATGAGTTACAAACGGAATGACAAAAATTGTTACACGTTAGATTGGTTCCAGAAGAATCTGTGTAAAAAATACATTGATCTTATACATAAAGGGAATTCCCCTAAATTAGTGCTATTCACATTTGCTTTGACCAGTAAAAATTGTTTGTACGCGCTAAAGGGGAATTCACTTAAATCTTTAAGCTAGTGTTCGCAAACTATCGATACTATCGATGGTTTCAGACTTTTTTTCTTTCATAAATACTTTTTGATATGATACGAACATACTTCGCAAAAATTAAATTTGACAAAAAAAAATTAAGTACATAAAATTTCAAATCGTGCTAAATGGAATAAAATCGTCTAAAAAAATTAAAAATATTCAATTTTCAAACCGTGTTATATCAAAACCGTGTACAAAAAGACCGTGTAAAAACAGACTTAGGTATACTCTCCAAACTATGGTGGAGGGTATAATAATGGGGTCTACACCTATATATGAGGCCTAACCTGAATCTAAGCCAATTTTTCTACTCTAAAAAGTGGACCAATATTAATCAGTTTTGTAGGAAAAAATTCTATGCCAAAATGTGGACCGACATACCCCTTTGCAAGACCAAGCAACCTAGGAGCAGTAGCAATGTATCATAAATATTACAGTTCTGTATGATCTTTTTAGGATATACCTTTTTTATAATTGTCTATAATTTGTTTTTTTTTTTTTTTTTTTTTTAATGTGTTCACTATATTTATCGCCACCCATTTTATCGACTTTTTTCGGAAATATAACATTTGTTACGAAATTATGCAACCAACTCAATAAAATTGCTTCGTTTTCCTTTATTAATAGGGTCCTTGTTAATAGGGCCTATTTTTAGCCTATATTCGTTAAGTATTTAAAAACTCTCGAAATGTGTAGTTGCAAATGTTTTGAGCAGGCCAAAACACAACAACAACAACCTATTGAAATATATTATTTCTTCAAATATTATTTAGAAAATAATGTTTTTAAGCATAAGTAAAAATTATAAAACTCTTAAATCTTAGTTTTACCTTATGTTGTATGGCAGTTTTATACTATGCGCTCTTTGGTGATTATTTCGATGTGTTACGGAATGGCCAATTTAATATAAACTCCACGTTATTGTAGAGAGTATAAAAAATTAATGGCAACATTGGGTTTAAAACCAAGTTTATAACAAATATGACCTTTAAAGCATTACGTGTCAGCAAAGACACAAACCCAATGAAATACACCTCATCCCATAATGTTGATACGGTACTAATGATTGCAAACTGTTATATGATAATATTTTGTCCATTTGAAACTTTCATAACAACAAAATATAAATGTTTTTTATTTAGGGGGAATTACAAAAAATAGGATCCATTTTTTACAAACAATTATTGGGGGTTCCATAAAAAATATTGGTTCCTTATAATTTTCAAGAAAATATTTTGAACATTTACATAATGGATGTTTTAATAATATTGCATATTTTTCATTCATTCACTATTTGGTTACTTTCTTTTATTCCTCCTTCGTCCACTTTCATTGTAACACTTTTTTCGTTTTTTTTTTTTTGGTTGCTTAGGGGATGAATGTGTGGTGAGTGTTGTAAGCCAAATGCCTGACCATCGATAAGAGGCATAAAAACAACAACAGCAAAAAAAAAACTGCGCCGGTCCATTTAACCCAAAAAAAGAAAAAACATGAATCGACATTTTAAGGGTTGTTACGAATTTTCGAACATGACACAAAGACCGATTGGGAGAAAGAGAGTAGAATTTATCGTATGTGTGTGTGT